ATACCATACCTAAGTAACTAGACCGTTTAGCGGTAGCGCTTTCGGGAAGAAAGATAATGGCTAGGCAATCTATGGTCAAAATGACAGACTTTTGGCAAAGACAAACTGCTGCCTTGAACAAAGAGGCATGCAGGTTAAGGTCTCTGTGTATTCAGAGTGGATCTATAAAGCACCATAAAGGTTCTTTTTTTACATTGTTCTGTCCCAAGAAATAGCCACTACAACAATTAAAACTAAAATGCAAGGCATCCTAATGGTGCACTGACAGAATGCACTGCAGTCTACAAAGATTTCCCCTGTACAGCGTTAAGAGGCTGAACTTCCACAGCTCACATGACAGCACTTGATTTTATTTAAATATCACTGTTATTATTGGTATGATTTACCACCCCAAGGAAGCATCCAGGAGGCAAAAAGGTTTGGTCATAAACAGAGGCCCACAGTCCCAGCGTAAACTAGTGAAATCATTCTTTTGGAGGATCTATGAAATAATCTTTAAAAGCATGTAATTATTCTCTCACTCTGTGTTTCAGTATTGAATTTTTTAGCCAAAGTTATTTTTTTAATGGATCCACTTCAGTTCAGTCTGGAATGGGCATATAGATATTGATTGGAATCAATAATGGGCAGAAAAGGCTCAATCGGATGTCAGAGAGAAAATCAGTGGAATCCAAGTTAGTACTGTGGGGTAGTACTTTTATATGCAAGATTCTTTTTAAATATATTGTTTTGTTTTGTACAACAGTTAGTTCCGGCCACGCAAGCTGATTGGTTGAGAAGCGTTCTAACTGTGCTGTTATTTCACCATAACATCACGGGTAACTATCACTCCGCTGAGACGCCACTGCTAAGCAACGACTTTGACAGCTGTAGGAGACGCTCAAGACATATGAACGTTTTTACTTCTTACTTTGCCACAAACAGAAAATGGACACTTTCAAGATCACATTTGACCGACAGCCGATTTGGTCAGACTCTGAAGATGAGACGACACTAAATTCCCAAACTGTCATCACCACTGAGCAGCTTTTCAGTCGGCAGCTGAGACAGAAGAACAGCTAAACAACCTGGAATCAGCCAGAAATGAGCCCAATACCATTCGCCAAACGTGTAGTCTGATCTTCAGAGTCTGACCAAATCAGACTGAGTCATAAAACTGCCGCAATATCAAGTTCAGCTCAGTTTTGTCAGTTTTTGCCAGATCAGTATTAATGTTGTTTTGTTCCAGCCAGTCTGTAAAGCATCTTACAGCCCGTTTAGTTTGGCGAATGGTGTTGGGTTCATTTCTGGCTGATTCCAGGTTGTTTAGCTGTTCTTCTGTCTCAGCTGCCGACTGAAAAGCTGCTCAGTGGTGATGACAGTTTGGGAATTTAGTGTAAGGAGCTGGAGAACGAACTGCCGGCTGTGCAGCGAGTGGGCGGAGCTCGTTACTCTGACGCAGCAACAAGCTGCTCGTTAAGGAACTATAATTTGGTGAAGGAACTGCGAACATTAAAACATATGAAACGCCGCGTTCACGGCCCAGTTTATTAATTTATTACTTTATTTATTTAACTGTTGTATAAAAGCAGTAGAACACTCGAGGTTGTGTGTTATCGTGGATAACACACTCCCTCTCATGTTCTATGGCTTAAAATGTATTCCAAACACTGAAGTGCAAATAATACATTTTCACACTGTTTCAAATGTATTTGTTTTGTTTCTTTTCCATATAGGGGCCTAGGTTAAGATGCCCACCTTAAAGCTACCTTATGCAATATTTGGGGATTTGGAGACCTCTCTGGTGAAACGTGTAATTGCACGCAATGTGTGGTTGTGTCTCATTGGGTGCAATTACACTTTTTTTTTTCCCCTCCAAATTTATCCCTAAGGGAATACATCTGGTAATTGTGAGTGTTGAAGGAGTATTCATAGAGAACTTCAACTGCAAGCGAATAACATACTATTGTCATCATATCTTTATCAGTATTATGCTGACTTTGCATTTCAGACCTAAACTTCAGGCTGGACCTTCTTTGTGAGCCTGTGTGTGTGTGACATTATTATGCAAAGATGAATGATGTGGTCTGGAAAACTCCTGCCAAATAAGACCCAACGGCTTTTAAATGAATATTTCATATTATGTACCATATTATATAGTCATATTTCAGTTTCCTGACTCAGTTATGCAACTTCTTCCAATTTTAACAAAAAAAAACGTATAGTGCAGCTTTACATGATGTTCTTCAAAAATAAATGGATAATTTGAAATCTTAGTACACTGTAATCCCGCAATTTGTTTTAACTCAAAAAAAATTAAGTCTGTTGTACATAAAACTCAGTATATCCGACATATTGCTGAACAATTTTAAATTAAGAGAACGTTTTTGATGATTTTGTGCTCTCAAAATGCATTTTTGAATTGAATTAACTTATCGCCATTTAGTTTAGTCTGTTGCTATGGCAACTTTGAAACCCCACATTAAAAAAATTATGATATTTCTGTTGGTTTTAATTGTTTCTTTCTCATTAAAGTTGCTGAACAAATGTGTGAAACTGAGTGAAACTAAGTAAGCTGTGAAATACAATTACATGTTTGTTTTGTTAACATGATTTTATTAGATAAAATGTATTTCTTTCCCATTGGCTCCCGGCTCCATCTATTTGCATATTGAGAGTTTCCCCTTGTTTTGCTCACAGTCAGTGTGATTTCATTCCACCCAGGCTGCCTTTCCTCAGGCGTATGTTTTTTATATATGCTTTACTCAGCTGCCTGACGTTGTGTTGTTGGCTAAGAGTGAAGGTTATCGTTCTCTTTTCTGACAAGTGGCCATTTGTTTTGGTCAATGACCATGTTCACAGTAAAGGCTAACCCTTCGGTGCTTGGCAAAGTGGTCAAAATCACTTAATTGGAAAAAAGATTCGCACTTGCCTAATTAAACATAGTTAAATTGCAATTTTAAGACATTAAATTAAAATAATTACAATTTAAGAGTTGCACAAACGTGTGTTTGTTAGCCTAACACACAAATGATAGTTATTCTAACTCGAGTTTTCATTACACATTACTTAATTTTTTTAAGGCAACTGGTTTCCTCAAACTTTTTAAGTAAATTCAACTTATCTGCGCTTACAGTGTAGCTTTTAAAGAGGAAAAAAACTGTTTTGGTATCAACTGATAAGGCTCAATATCATTACTGGAATCAGAAAATAAACCGTGGTTTGGTGCCAAGTCTAATTCAGTCACATCTCAAAGCACAAAGCAGTCTGAGGGGATTCTTCATTCTGAGCATTCCTGACCAAAACCAGTCAAAACTACCAGCAGTGACTGAACTCCAGTGGACTGAAATCACCAACCAGTCTCTGTATTCTTCTTCTAGCTAATGGTTAAAGTGAGGCTTCACATGTTGGTGGAATAAAGAGTGGAAAACACGACAGGACGTCATGAGTTGACTTCACAGCTGCTGCTTTAAAGAAAAGCTGCCAAAATCCTCCCAATAATAAAGGTAGAATCACATTACAGCCCAAGACTAAAAGAAGCTGAAGCGGAATCTAAACCAGTTTTCGGGCCAGATGTGGAAAAATACGACCCAAAGAATTTTAAATGAATATTTCAGCCTACGCAATCATATTTCAGTTTGTTTTTTCCTGACTCAGTCATGCAATCCCTTCCAATTTTAACAAAAAAATCTTACATAGTGCAGCTTTACACACTGCGCTTTAAAAACAATTAACTCCTTTTACAGCTTAGAAGCTTTTAAAGGAAAACTGTATCAGTATCAGCTGATAAGGTTCAGTATCAGTACTGGAATCAGAAAATAAACCGTGGTTTGGTGCCAAGTCTAATTCAGTCACATCTCACAGCACAAAGCAGTCTGAGGGGGATTCTTCATTCTGAGCATTCCTGACCAAAACCAGTCAAAACCACCAGCAGTGGCTGAACTCCAGTGGACTCAAATCACCAACCAGTCTCTGTATTCTTCTTCTAGCTAATGGTTAAAGTGAGGCTTCACATGTTGGTGGAATAAAGAGTGGAAAACACGAAAGGACGTCATGAGTTGGCTTCACAGCTGCTGCTTTAAAGAAAAGCAGCCAAAATCCTGACAATAATAAAGGTAGAATCACATTACAGCCCAAGACTAAAAGCTGAAGCGGAATCTAAACCAGTTTTCGGGCCAGATGTGGAAAATATGACCCAATGAATTTTAAATGAATATTTCAGCCTATAGGGCGACTCAGTCATATTTCAGTTTGTTTTTTCCTGACTCAGTTATGCAATTCCTTCCAATTTTAACAAAAAAATCTTACATAGTGCAGCTTTACACACTGAGCTTCAAAAATAAATAGGTAATTTGAAATCTTAGAAGCTTTTAAAGGAAAAAAAAACTATCAGTATCAGCTGATAAGGTTCAATATCAGTACTGGAATCAGAAAATAAACCGTGGTTTGGTGCCAAGTCTAATTCAGTCACATCTCACAGCACAAAGCAGTCTGAGGGGGATTCTTCATTCTGAGCATTCCTGACCAAAACCAGTCAAAACTACCAACCAGTCTCTGCATTCATCTTCTAGCTAATGGTGAAAGTGAGGCTTCACATGTTGGTGGAATAAAGAGTGGAAAACACGACAGGACGTCATGAGTTGACTTCACAGCTGCTGCTTTAAAGAAAAGCGGCCAAAATCCTCACAATAATAAAGGTAGAATCGCATTACAGCCCAAGACTAAAAGAAGCTGAAGCGGAATCTAAACCAGTTTTTCTTCGTTATTCTGCCCTGCAGCGGCTAAAATATGCAGACTAGGCTGCATCTAATCCGGTTTGGCTATTTCAGAGCATCCAGATGTGACCATGCATGCAAGTCAGCTCTTACAGTGTTTTGTATACAAACCCAAACGAACTCATTCAAAAGCGTTTCACGCTTTCACTGGACTAAAACAGCGCAAAGTGAGCAGAGCAGCTCCTGAAAAACCTCTCGTATAAACATCTGTTTGGAGTGGAGACGTTTTCAGCGGACTTTACGTACCAGTTCTTGTCTCAGTCGCCTCAAACATGTATCCATGGTGTTTCACGCTCTCAGATTAAGGTAAAAAGACTCGGTCCGTTACATTAGAGACGAGCTCAGTGAAGGGAAGCATCGGCTCGCTTCTCCTTCATGACTTCGAATGGCTTCTGGTAGACGTTACTTCTCTGTGTAGGACAGCGAGACAACGCGACTCGGCTCTTCAGCTGTGCTGTCTTCAGTCCTCCTCAGCGTCCCGGCCAAACATCCCTCCCTGTAGGGCAGCTGTCCGAAAGTTGCCCTCAGAACGCTTCTGAGGTTAGCGCGACTGACAGTTGCCGTCTTTCCTCCTCGTCAGTAGGCGCTGCTCAGGTCAGCTGGCCGCTATTTTCTCTCACAGAGCTTCAGGCTTTAGCAAATTCCCGCCAACAAACCTGCGCGTGCTTCCCGCCCCTCACAGCGTCTCGCGCTTTAATGGCTTGTCAGCTTCTCCTGTTTGTGTGTGGAGGCTTGTTTTTCCTCCTTCACTCTTTCTGGTTGGCGGTATGTCAAAACACTGACTTAGTATTTCGAAATAGTGTCTTATTTAGTCTTAATTCTGTTTAAATATCTTCAAAAAACCCACACTGACAAGAAACATCCGGGCAAACACCAGATTATATTAACCTTTTTAAATCCTTGAGACCACCGGTGGTTCCAAAACACACTTCATCATATTCTTCATAACTTTCATATTTCATAAGCTACATTCTAAAGGTGGGGGTCGTATGAGAGCTGTAACTGTCTTCTTTCCAGTCAAATAGATGGGTGATGTCATTTTAAACCCTTATAATAAAAGAAGATGAACTAACAATTTTTTTTCTACTGAAAGTCGACCCATTTTTCCACAAATCTGGGCTATAAACTATAAACAGATGGCGTCTCTTCAGTGATCTGCTCTGTAAACATTATTTTAATAAAATAATACAAAGAGCGTCTAAGATTTTTGGCTTTCAGCAGTAAATTGTAAGCATATAGCAATATGTGTATCATAAAACACATATTCTGTTCATTTGAGGGGAGCTTTTACAAAAAAAATAAAAGAATAAAGTAAATGTACATTTATTTCGTGCAGTTACTGAATAATTTGCCTTATGATTTGGTCATGTAAATTCAGATGGACAAACCAAAATATACTGTGGAGAATAAGAAGTTAAACACATTTTTGGCCAGCAAAGCCAACATGTTGTGTTTTGGAAGCTGGTATGGTGGTCAACCAGCATGACCATGCTGGGTAAACAGCTAAACCAGCACCAGACCAGCATAAACCAGCTATGGTGGTTTTATTCAGCAGTGGTATTTGTTATCTGTATGGAAATTTTCGTGTTTTCTCAAAATATTTACTTAATATCTCGAAATAATGACTGAAATAATAAGTCGTTCAAGAAGTAATCATTTCAGGATAGTATGAGATCCTAAGTCAGATTTATTTTTTCCTTGAGACAATACAAGGTTGAAGTTTGTTACTTACCCTAGTTAGTCATAGTTAAACATGGTGAGTCAATATTTTAAGAAAATAAGCAGTTATTTCAACATCTGAAGTCAAAAGTTTGAGAAAAGTCATTATTTTGGTACAATAAGCTAAAATTTTGAGAAAATCAAGTTATTTCAAAACTAAGTCAATGTTTTGAGAAAATAAACCATTTTGACATAGTAAGCCAATATTTTGAGAAAATAAGTCATTATTCAGACATAGTCAATTAAAAGTTTGAGAAAATATGTCATTATTTCGACAAATTAAGTCAATATTTTGAGGAAACAAGTATTTTATTGCTGCCAGAAACAGAGAAGAAGAGAAGAATCAGGCTTTCATATTTTAATGCTTTCCAGTCCAAAGAATTAAATTTTTTCTTTCAGTTGTGTAAAAATATCGTATTACAGACAACTTTCCTCAAGATAATTGTAAGCGGAGTAACTAAAGTGGACTAATATCTCAGAGGTGTTCAGTTGTACCAAAATTAAATTATAGCAAAAATATATCAACATTCTGTATATACTGGCTTTGGAAACCCACATCATTGCAGTCTCTACACCAAAACTAGACCAAAAAAAGAGCCCACATCTAAACAAAAAGGCATCAAAGCTGGTTCAAGCAAAGTAAATAGGGGTTGTGTGCTGATATTGTCTTTTTATCTTCCTTACTCAGATTTCAGCCCTGGAGAGGGTGTGATGGAGAGTTTTGCTAATCGGTGACGAGTAAAATAAAACGACACCTGTCAGCCAGAGGACACTAAAGGGAGCTATTTTTAAATCACAAGAGCTTTGGTCATGATGATGATTATCTTGAAATCATTTTCTTGAAATAATGATTTCGCCAACTCTTTGCATACTCTGTACTGTAGATGGCAGTAAATAGTATTCAGTAAACCACACAGCTCCTCTCATTATCCAGAGCTGCTGGAGCTGTTCTGATGAAGCATCCTCAGAGAATTTGATCACTTCATAACACTGCGCTTATCACATGTTTAAAGGTGCAATTTGTATGATTTTTAGTTTAAAACATTCCAAAAGTAACTAAAATTATCAACAGAACATGAAGAAATAACAGTTTTGGTGTTATGTTAAATACTTCTATGTTTTGTGTTGCAGAGATATCTATCGCAACTAGCACGCCGTCTCGTAATACCACTTTGTACCTCAAGAGGCAATAATGAGTCACTGTAGCGTTGAGTCTGCCATCAGTCCCAGATCTTGTAGAGAGGAGAATTGCCGCTCTGTAATGTCTCCTGGGTTTCTCAAATTCTAGAGGGCGCTCCCGAGCGAGAATGAATGTGTATGAAGCATTTGAGCATTCATAGTTTATAAATGCTTAAAAATTTTTTATGTAAAAGAATACATTCATTTCCTGAACATAGAGCAGCATAAAACATTTTAACACTGCTGTTATATTTTTAAGAGCTTTTAAACTCGAGTTATAGGAGTTTAAAACGGCGCCTCATGTACGTTCATGACGTCGGTGAGCGCGAACAGCCAATGAGCTGCTCTGCTCGCCAACCAATCAGCGCTCAGTAACAGTAATGCTAGCGTTCTGCTGCCCAAAACCCGTTTGCTGTAGAAAAAAGGAAACATACAGGTGAGTTTTCTTTGTTTTTTTAGTGAAATACATCCTTCTACTTTCTAAAATTAAAGGAAAGTTCTGAGTAAGTGATTAGAAACTGTTTTAACTTTTTCGTTTGTATCCGTTGAGCTCCATTCACTCCCCTCGCGGGCGCCCTCTGCTGTTCTGCACTCCTGTTTTTGATATAACGGGGGAAATAGGAAGTGGCCAGGCTCCTTATAAACCGACTCTGATCAGTCCATCATGAGAGGATGAAGAAGTAGCACTGCCCTGAGGGCGTATTCTAACCTTTTGTCAATCATATTGAAGGTGCTGCATCCGGACAGGCAGCCAGAGTAAGGAATAATAAATGCAATAATGAAATCAGAACCAGGAAATACCCAAGATAACTGCACAAACATGCAAATAGTGCAGAAACCCATACAATGGGTTCCCAGGCTCTTTATTGCAGAACTATCAGATTAAGCTCCAACACAACTTGCTCTAATATTCAGATGCTGTGCAGAGCATTAGATCAATCTTTTCTACTGTATTACATACTAAGGCTTACAATTCAGTAACCACAGGGACTTCAATGCAAACTGGTTGAGCTTTTGTTAGGTTATACAAATATGTAATATAACTTTGGGCTCACCGGTGGGCTCTGGCCATTTAAGGGGTTAAAGAACATTGTAGCAAATGAGTTGTGTGAGTATAAAGAACCTTTTGAGGTTCAAAGAACCTCTACATTATGTAAAGTTTCCATACTAATGAAACGTCCAAGCGAAGAACCATTTAGGAACCTTTACTTTCATGAGTGTAGCTTACTGGATTACACTGGACACTGGAGTTGGGTTCCACCTTTCAGTTTCTCTAAACACAAACATTTCTGACAAATGAAATGCAGTTGAGTGAGTTCAGATGTGCTTGAAGTTGGATCTGTTGTTTCGGCCGCAGCTCCTTCAGACTGAACAGGGCAGAAAGTTCCGGAGCTCCTGTTTACTGACCTGATTCCATCTAAATGAGCGCTATTATCATCGTAATTTCCAGCCATGCCACATGTTCACATATCCCAGCAGAGCGCCAGCTCGCAACTCCAAAAGCAAAGAGCTGAGGCTGGATATATGAATAAATCATCTGAAAGTAAGCGCAGTGCGCTTTTTGGAGATTGTAGAAAGAGGCAGCGTTCGCAGTGGTGGAGTTTTGTTTAAGCTGTTCTGCTTGGCTTTGACGTCCTCTTGATGTTTACGAGGTGGGGGTGGATGTGGTGGCTGTGTTTGAACAACAGAATGTTTTTAATGTCTAATCAAAAAAGCAGCGAGGAGGGTTAAATGAGGACTTGGCAACCACAGTGCATAATGCAGTGAGATTTGCTCTGGGGCAGAAAAAAGAGAAAATGATTTTGAGTGTGTGTGGGTGTGTGTGTTTGGGTGTGTGTGTGTGTGTGTGTGTGGGTGTGTGGGTGTGGGTGTGTTTCACATGTAATATATTTTGGAAAAAAGGTTTTATGAGTCTAATTCTAGCCTGGAAAGCATTTCAATGGACAATGCACTGTATGAAATTTTGCCTCATATGTCTTACAGTCATTGTCCATTTGATCAGGGCCACCATACATTGACTACAGTTCTACAGTTACAGACTGTAGTCCATCTGTTTCTCTGCGTAATTTCTGAGCCCCTATCAGTGGTCAGGACCCCATGGACCAGGTATAATTTGGGTGATGGATCATCCTCAGCACTGCAGTGATGCTGAAGTTGGGGTGGCATGTTAGTGTGTTGTGCTGGTACGAGTGGATCAGACACAGCAGTGCTGCTGGAGTTTGAAAACACTATGTCCACTTACTGTCCACTACAGTAGACCTTGTTGGAGGTAGTCATCTTCTAGTCCTTAATTAGGGGTCAGTTTCTGGCCACAGGAGACTGTTGGCTGGATATTTTAGGTGGGTGGACTATTCTCAGTCCAGCAGTGACACTGTGCTGTTTTAAAACTCCAGCTACATTGTGCAGCATTCACACCCACTGACATGTCACTGCTATGTCAGTGTCACTGCAGTGCTGAGAATGATCCACCACCCAAATAGTACCTGCTCATTACACAGAGAAACAGATGGACTACAGTTTGTAATTGTAGAACTATAAAATTCACCCCTGTGGTAAGTGGACCTGATAAAATGGACAATGAGTGTGGAAAGATAAACACCTCTACGGTAATACTAATGTCTGCTAGCACCCTTATGGGATTCTTGTAGTATGTTAACACTAAACTCACAGCAATTCACATGAACGTTTTTGGTTCAAGGGTTTCAAGGTTGACAAACGTGTTTTGTCGAAGTGGTGTTAAATGGTGTGTAACGGGCCATATTAAAAAGGCAGT